GGATATCCATTTAATGTATCTTGTTTTTTGTTAGTAAAAATATAAACAAAGATCTTAGATGTGTTTGTCTCACAGATCCACGTACCTCTTTTTCCTTTTTAGGGCTGCCACGCAGGCTTCGTTCCACAAATCTCTTGTGGAAAGGTACCATGGAACAGGCAGTTGACCTGTTGAAGGATGACGTTCTAGTGGCTGATCCTGGAACAAAGTGAGTGTGACTGGCCTTAAAGTACATACCCCATTATTATGTCACATCATCACAATGCAGCAACGTGTGTAACAGAAACAGTTAGCATGCCACTTCCCATCCCGGACCCTGCCACTACCCAATCACTCTATAACCTATCCACCATTTCAACTACAAGAGAAGCCTTGTTGTACAAATCTTCCCCTACATCTTTCTTAATTCTGTCTGTCTCATCCCGTTGACACTTTAACTAGAACTAACAACAAGTTACTGCTTAGAATATCACTAGCAGCCAGACAAGTCTTAGCTTCCTGCTGGCAGGACCCCAAGCGTTGCCCTAGTGGTGATGGTAACTATACCATAAACCAGTGCTCCTCAACCCTCTCCTCAAGGCACACCTAACAGTCCAGGATGTAGGAATTACCCGAGTGTGTTTAAGGTTTTTAGAAAAAGAAAAAAAAAAGGTTTGTTTTTTTAAAACACCTTGGACACACCTGGGTAATCCCTAAATCCTGGACTGTTAGGTGTGCCTTGAGGAGAGGGTTGAGGAGCACTGCCAGAAACGATAATTATAGAAGATAACTATCTCCTGTCCTCTTTACCCCAAGCACCCCACTTAGATCAGTTTAAAGCCATGTATTTACTGTATATGTGGTTAATTTAAGGACCTCTTTTACCCAGGTGTCATTACAGTAACTTGGCATTCTCATTACTGGCACATGTACTGGCCGAGCAGACATCAGAAGGAGATTATCAGCGCTGGGTAGCAGATAATATTCTGGACCGTTTGGGCATGGAAGACACAGGATTTGACATCACACCTCCTATCTTAGCACAGATGGCAGTTGGCTACTATAGCAGTGGCCAGCTTGCTCCACTTTATGACCTGGGCTGGTATCGTCCAACTGGTCAAATGTATTCAACAGCAGCAGATATGGCTAAACTAGCCATGGTGTTAATGGGCACCTACCATCGCCGGATTCTGGAAGCAGACACATTAAAGACGATGCTGACCCCACTTTTTAGGTGTTCTAGTGACTACTTTGCTAACAAGACAGGTACTCCATGGGAAGTAAATGAGAAATATGGTTATGACATTATTCGGAAAGACGGAGATTTGGATGGTTACTCTGCTACGTTTTCTATGATCCCTAAACTCCTGCTGAGCTTCACTGTTTTGATGTCCGGGAGGAGACCTCAAGACGAGGATATTGTATCAAAAACATATAATTACTTAATTCCAGCTCTGGAAAAAGCCTTCAGAGAGGCAGATAAAAGACTAAACCCAACACCAAATCCTATCCCCTACGTCGGATATTACACTTATGCAAATCTGACTTTTTATGAGATCAAGGCTGGACCCAGTGGGGTTTTGTCAATGCAACAGTTTGGACCTCATATTGAAGAGCTGATCACAGAAAGTTACAGGACCATTCGTCTTCATTATTTGGAGGAGAGGATCTTTCAAGTGGTTTTTGACAAGGAGTACCCCTGTACTCTGAACTTAGGGTCTGCCTCGCTCTCCCTTGAAATTCAAGACCACCAGATATTTAATTTCTATCTGTTTGATGCTCAGGGTTTGTCCCCTGGGTTTGATGTTCCTGGTCTCAATACGTATAACGTGCATCGGATAACACACAAGCCTGTTTTCTTTCATTAGCAATGAGTGAATTAAACCAGAACTTAAATCAACATGTCATCAAAATGTGAGTCACGCACCACGTTTGATACATTCGGTGAGTTCTTGGAAGTGGAAACACCCAAAACCATCAAATCTTTCACAGACAGAAAAAGGAGATGTGACATTAAAATTTGAACTTGATATGATGCCAAGCTATGGATATTTGAAAAATAATCAATTTACACCTTACCGTACATTTCTTGTTTACGCACATACTGGAGAACACAAAGCATACAAAAGGGATCCAGGGGTGCCTACTGAAAACAAAAATAACTTTAGAATTGAAGATAGAAAGGCAAATTATTTAGAGATGGCAAACTGGTGGATTTGATGTTTTTTGGAAGGTTATACCACACTTGTTAAGGAGCTCTGAGATGGCTGCTCAGTCCACGTCATGGTCAAAATAATGAGGAATATGTATGAAAAGGACTGGAGGTGTGGAGAGCAGGAGAAATCGTTCTGCCATCTAGTGGCCTAATTTACAGCAATATTGTTGGCGTTGTACATCATCACAGTTGTATATTGTACAGGAGGAGGTGAATGTTTGTTTAAATTATTTCCTGAGGATCTTGGGTGATAAAAGTTTATTTTTATACTTTTGGGCTAATAATGATATTAAGCATTTCACTGTGATTTTGATTAAGACATTCACACAATCCCTATTCACAGAATAATATATATTATGACACTCATTAATAATAAATGCTAATAATAATTATAATTATAGTAGTTTAAAATGTTTAACTGTGTATTATAAAGGCCTATACTCACTAATATACTCACAAAACTCACTAACATACTTTAATTGTCAGCATTATTCGCTATATTGAGAATTGTCAGAAATTCTAATTTAATTTTAAATTTAAGTATTTAACTTTATTATACAGATCTACACTCTTACACCTCAACGCTCACTAATGTACTTATTTCACACATTATTATACACTGTTTCTCACCCATCTAGACATCTAGGGGTTTATTTACTAAGCACACAGTGTAACTTGGAACTGAATCGCAAATTTCAAGATAAAACAGTCACTCTGTGACGATTGCCGACTTTGAGAATTTCTCCAAAAAAACGGTTTTAGCCTATGTTTTTCAATCCAGCTTTCAAATCACTTTGTTCATTGTATGAACCCCTGCTGTATATATTTAATCTAGTCGATGTAAGTTCACATATCGATTGTGTCATTCAAACATCACAGTTATATTTCTGTCTTAATAAATCCCAGAGCAGAGATGATTTTTTTTACAGATTGTTTTTGAAATTTGTAAAATTAGCATTTTGTGGTTCTTTACTCTGGGCAATATTCCATCCTATACTAAACACATTATATTTTAACATTGTTCAATTATTTTATTTATTTATTTTATATTTTTATTATTCATTATATGTTTATTAAGAAAATATAGAGGTACATGCACCATACATTAACAATTAGTTACATTGTCCAAGTAGTGATATATTTTAGATACATCGTAGTCAGAGCATCCGTTTGAATAGAGTACACACAGTACAGTATTTCGTTTGTAAGGGATACAAAACTTGTATATACAGCACAATATTGCAAGTTCAGGGTTCGTTTAAGACATTATACTGGTGCTTCCAGCATTAGAATGGCATACCAGAATAGAAAAGAGAGAGGAATCTGGTGCACTCTAGCTCACAAACATAGACAGGCGCGCATAGAAAGAAGAGACAGTTAAAAAGAAAAGTAATGAAGACTAAAATGCAATAAAGAAAAGAAATCAACAATTTACAATACGAAGTATTTTACAATTTAGGAATACGAAGTGGCCTTAATCATAGATAATCATAGCTCGGCTAATCGGCATTGTTGGAGATCATGCCTGCATAACTTTTAAGTCAGTGTATTCAGCTATATAAGTCAGAACCTATGGCTATAGGGCGTCTAAGTCCATAGTCCATATGGGCAGCTTACCAAAGTGATCATATTCTATAAGTGTATGTAGAGCAGGCCTGCCCTACCTGGGGTCCCTTAGATGCTTCTGAACTACAACTCCCATGATTCTTTCAAATAAACAGATAGCCGGTGGACATGGGAGTTGTAGTTCAGTAAAATCTGGGGGGCCGCAGGTTGTACAGTCCTGATGTAGAGGGTTGCCTCATGGTTCACTGGTTTGTCTTAGCGATACGGTTGTCCATAAAGGATTCCCAAGGCTGCCAAATGTGTGTGTATCTCATATGATTATTTAAAGGTACACTATAGGCACCAAATCAACTTTAGCTTAATCAAGCAGTTTTGGTCTATAGATCATGCCACTGCACTGAATGCTCAATTCACTGCCATTCAGGAGTTAAATCACATTTGTTTTTGTTTATGCAACCCTAGCCACACCTCTCCTGGCTGTGAATGACGCAGCTTGCATGAAAACAAAATGGTTTCAGATGTCATTTACTATAAAAGTTTTTATCTCCTGCTTTGTAAAATGAACTTTAATTACATACAGTAGGCTAATGCAGGTCTACTAAGCTATTAACAGTGCAGAAGATAGGATATTATAAATTAGACAGGATTTACACTAAAGGAAGTGCAAACATTAGATGACTCTTACAGGAAGTGTTTAAGAAGGCTGTGTAAGTCACATGCATAGAGGTAGGACTGGAGCAACGTAAGGAATGTGATTTACCTCCTAAATGGCAGAGAATTGAGCAGTGAGACTACAGTAGCATGATCTATACACCATATCTTCTTAATTAAGTTCAAGTTATTTAGGTGGATATTAGGTCCCTTTAAGGAGAAACATTACCATGATGCGTTAATGTTTCATCTATACAAACCATTTTCCTAAGGTCGGAGGTTTTATAGATTTCCAGAGACTTGTTATAGCCATTTATGTGGCTGTTAGCATGGAGTAAAGGAGGGAATACTTCACGTTAGAAATAGGCATGTCTTGTTCAATTAATTCATATCTCGGCTATTCAGGAATCATCACTGCCAGTCATGGTTCTCCCATAGCAGAATGTTAAAATGCATGACATCATCCTTGCATATATTCAGTAATTAGCCACTAAAATTAACAGGAGCACAGTGCACCCATATAGATGGTTTGATTTATGTGAAATTAATTAATGAGATCCACTGCTTCAACCTATATCAAAGGGGGATACAGCAAAGTATTCAATCACGAAATACACAAGGGGAAGTAGTGAATTGGGGAAAATTGAAAACTGAAATGACATTTCAGGAAGCAATAGCTAGGGTGCAACTGAATGGGAGGAGAATTTTTTTTCCTTTTTTTTTTTACATCGACTGTTTTCAGGATAGATTTTGCAATTGGATTTAATAATTCACTACAATTCATGCTTTCATGAATACATCCCACTGTGTTCTAGCCTGAGTTCTGCTGCCATCTTCTGGACACATTAGAGAACTGTACAAAAGGACCCTACATTAAACTTGTCACTCCTATGAAATGTCACATAGCAAGGTGTCTACCAACCCCTCATTCTGTCATCCTGAATGGGTTTAATATTGGTCAGTGCCAGTTGGGAAGCCCTATCTATGATAAAGCTCAGCTCAAATATGGACCAGTTTTATCTGACCTCTGAACTTGCCAAATCTAGTGAATCTATTCTGTTTTTCTCATCACGGTTCCTTTTTTCTGATTGGCAATACAGTGTTGTCTTGTGTGATGTGTAATCTATACGGTGAATGGAAAAGACCTTTAAACTAATCAAGGCAATGTGTTCTATATCCCTCGTTGGCTAATCTGTTTGATTCCGTGACGCTGATTATGAATCCTGCATACTATGGTGATGGATCTAGTAATGTCCTGAATGCAGACTACAGGGATGGATCTAGTAATGTTCTGAATGCAGACTATAGGGATGGATCTAGTAATGTTCTGAATGCAGACTATAGGGATGGATCTAGTAATATTCTGAATGCAGACTATAGGGATGGATCTAGTAATGTTCTCAATGAGGGATGGATCTAGTAATATTCTGAATGCAGACTACAGGGATGGATCTAGTAATGTTCTGAATGCAGACTATAGGGATGGATCTAGTAATGTCCTGAATGCAGACTATAGGGATGGATCTAGTAATGTTCTGAATGCAGACTATAGGGATGGATCTAGTAATGTGAATGCAGACTATAGGGATGGATCTAGTAATGTCTGAATGCAGACTATAGGGATGGATCTAGTAATGTTCTGAATGCAGACTATAGGGATGAAGCTAGTAATGTTCTGAATGCAGACTACAGGGATGGATCTAGTAATGTTCTGAATGCAGACTATAGGGATGGATCTAGTAATGTTCTGAATGCAGACTATAGGGATGGATCTAGTAATGTTCTGAATGCAGACTACAGGGATGGATCTAGTAATGTCCTGAATGCAGACTATAGGGATGGATCTAGTAATGTTCTGAATGCAGACTATAGGGATGGATCTAGTAATGTTCTGAATGCAGACTATAGGGATGGATCTAGTAATATTCTGAATGCAGACTACAGGGATGGATCTAGTAATATTCTGAATGCAGACTATAGGGATGGATCTAGTAATGTTCTGAATGCAGACTATAGGGATGGATCTAGTAATGTTGTGAATGCAGACTACAGGGATGGATCTAGTAATATTCTGAATGCAGACTACAGGGATGGATCTAGTAATATTCTGAATGCAGACTACAGGGATGGCTCTAGTAATGTTCTGAATGCAGACTATAGGGATGGATCTAGTAATGTTCTGAATGCAGACTATAGGGATGGCTCTAGTAATGTTGTGAATGCAGACTATAAGGATGGCTCTAGTAATATTCTGAATGCAGACTATAGGGTTGGATCTAGTAATGTCCTGAATGCAGACTACAGTGATGGATCTAGTAATATTCTGAATGCAGACTACAGGGATGGATCTAGTAATATTCTGAATGCAGACTACAGGGATGGCTCTAGTAATGTTCTGAATGCAGACTATAGGGATGCATCTAGTAATGTTCTGAATGCAGACTATAGGGATGGCTCTAGTAATGTTGTGAATGCAGACTATAAGGATGGCTCTAGTAATATTCTGAATGCAGACTATAGGGTTGGATCTAGTAATGTCCTGAATGCAGACTACAGTGATGGATCTAGTAATATTCTGAATGCAGACTACAGGGATGGATCTAGTAATATTCTGAATGCAGACTATAGGGTTGGATCTAGTAATATTCTGAATGCAGACTATAGGGATGGATCTAGTAATGTTGTGAATGCAGACTACAGGGATGGCTCTAGTAATGTTCTGAATGCAGACTATAGGGATGCATCTAGTAATGTTCTGAATGCAGACTATAGGGATGGCTCTAGTAATGTTCTGAATGCAGACTATAGGGATGCATCTAGTAATGTTCTGAATGCAGACTATAGGGATGCATCTAGTAATATTCTGAATGCAGACTATAGGGATGGATCTAGTAATGTTGTGAATGCAGACTATAGGGATGGATCTAGTAATGTTCTGTCTGCAGACTATAGGGTTGGATCTAGTAATATTCTGAATGCAGACTATAGGGATGGATCTAGTAATGTTCTGAATGCAGACTATAGGGATGGATCTAGTAATGTTCTGAATGCAGACTACAGGGATGGATCTAGTAATGTTCTGAATACAGACTATAGGGATGGATCTAGTAATATTCTGAATGCAGACTATAGGGATGGCCACCTATCTTGTAGCGTGGCGGCGGTACAGAAGCTTCTCATGTGGAAGGTCGGTGACAGTTGTAAGTTGACCAGAATTAAAAATGGGTAAGTGATTCAAAGTGCAAAATTTGTGCAGGCAATCCCCTGAAACAGGGAGCACTCCAAAAAAATCCCTTTAACAACTACACACAAAGGAAAACTGTATAAGAACCCCAAATGGTTAAAATGCAGTGCAAGGCGCCACAATCACAAAATACAAAGTGAAAAGTGATATCACGCCGAAGACAGAAATATATTCTCACGTGAAAGATAAAAAGATAAAAAAGGATCATAGTGCAACCTTTAATTACAATAGTGAATTAAAAACCGATACAATATAACACTCACAAAGAAGTTGGCACAATCAAAAAGATCAATTCCTGGCCAATGTCAGTTCCCAGACATTTGGATTTCACTGAATGAATTCCTGTTTTGATTAGAGTAATTTTACAAAAATAAGGTACAAATAATTATTTTAATGTGTAATTGATGATTAAGTGTTATGCAAAAAATCTGTGAGCATGTTTCCCCCATACCTCTCCTCTGATTTCACAAGCATTTCTTACCGGTATTTTCCAAGAAGTCATCTTTGTCTTCATGACATAACTAACTATTGTGAAAGAATCGTTATCAGTGACACTGTCTCAGGGAATTGTTTAAAGAAATTATTAACTTTACGGCTTTTTGAAGATTCTTTGCCGAACACGAAACAATTCGATATCCAGTCTGCGATTACTTGCTTTGCCAGCAAATGTATAGATTAAAATATATATTTAACTAAAGAATGTGCGTAACCTCCTTCAGTATGGATGCTGAAAATGGATGACTGCTCACAAAAGACCTCCATGTGAAAATGTCCCACAATGCATAGCGAGCTTCATTTGGGGGTATACAGCCCTTCACATCCAACTCATTCGTCTTTACTTACAGTTTGTTTTGCAAGAGTGTACAAAGTGGTTTTCTATTTTATAAAGGCAGCAATGACTGGAGGGCCCGAGGTCAGAAGTCAAATTGTTCCAAAGTGGTTTGAATCCTCACAATGGGGGGCTCCAAGGTGCTCCTGGTAAAACAAATACCTCAGCGTGTTGTAGTGTCTATGGTGGTTTAATTTAAAGTGGAAAGAGTGGAGTATTATGAAGGGAATTGCAAGTTGTATACTTGGCTGAAGAATGTTTCCATTTTGTTTATTTTCTCGCCACATTTGCAGTTCCCTTTACCCCAATAAATGGTTTCTCAAACAACGTCAAGCATGACAATAAAGCAGTCTCGCACAGAGACAGCTGTTGGAGTTCTCTGGCACCAATGACGTAGTTAGCTTGTCTAACACACAAATATTTTAACATTATTAAAATGAACACAAAGAAACCATTTTCTTTCTTTACGTCATCTTTAAAGCATTGAGTGTAAAAAATAAAAGAGTCGTCATTAAATATTAAAAAGACAACTCTTTGGAGATTCATTTAATACATTGTTGCAATGTTCTGAGTGTTACAATAAAATTACTAAATCTGCCATCAATCTCTGCGTGATTTTCATTACTTAAAATGCAGAATAAATTTGATTTATTTTGCTTTACACATTTTGGATTAAAATGGCTTTTTAACATCAGAAGGGAACCAATAAAAATGACTTCTGTGCATAAAAAGAATAGATTATCTTCTAATTGACGTGTTCTGTTTTGCAATCAGAGAAACATTCTAATTAATTTCAGAGTTGCTGTGTGCTAGGCCCCAAGCTCTAGATACTCCTCGCAGGTCAGGAACAGAGAGGAAACTCTAATCATTCAAAAGGTCCTTATAAGTAATCATACGATGAGTTCACTGTGTGATCTCTGTACTTATAGCTCATTGCAGATAAAACATCTAGTGAGTTACTATCTTTAACAAACTGTGATCTGTCTGACGTTCAGTTATCAGGATGCTGTCTGTAGGTTATGGAGAAGGAAGTAGTAGCGGGCCTCTTAGCAACCCGACTGACTGCCCCTGCTCAGCCAAAGCCTTCCTCAGAAGAGAGTCAGAATACAGAAAGACCCATTTCCCACCCAGTAACCGGACAACACACAGTCCTGGGGTACAACAACAACTTTATTGGCCACATTCGGCTTTTAACTTTTCCCAATGCAAGGGGTGAATCACACAGAAAGCCCCAGCTCCTTTGTCCTCTGTTCCCGCAACTCAGTTTCCCCTCCCATGGCCTCCTCCCAGGGGTCTCCTGACGGAAACAGAACTCCAGTCCCTTTGTCCCCTGTTCCCGTCACTCATCCTCAGGGCTTCCCACCTCCAGGGACTTTTTCCTTTGAGCCTCTGTGCCTGGGAGCCCCAGCGTGGGAAAGCTTCCCGCCTCCTGGACTCCCAGGCACAGAAAGCCCAACAAACTGCCATTGTCCCCAGAGAGAGTCCCCACCAATCTCAGGGTACCCTAGAACAGTGACTGCCACAAGCAGCCTCCGTGGGGTCCCTGGGTGAAACCAGGCAAGAGAAGCGTCTCCTTTCAGGACACGAATGCTCCACCTGAGCCCTCATTAATTACTTTCCTTGCGGTTTCACACTTATGTTGCAAGTTGCCAACGTTCTAATTGATTGGTGCGAACATTCCAAGGGACACAATGGAGGTCCTCATTTGGTAACCGAAAGAGGTGGGAAGCAATCCACGAATGCTCCCCCTGTACAGTGTTTGTATAATGAACGGGACGCCACCCAGGGAAGGCACGCGCTGAGGCCTCCCTTGCGGTTTGTGGTTTTGACACTCTACTCCTGGTGGCAGAATCGTGAGCCCGTAGGATCTCCCTAGAATGAAGATTCCTCCAGGTGGGTGGACGGTGGGGAGGACATAACTCCCCATATGCCCAGAGCCCAGAAGAGGTGAGGCAGGCCGGTACATCCTCCCATACCTCTGGTGTTTCTCGCGGAGTAGGTGTGGGAGATCTGCTGCTTAGTCGGCTCCAGAAACGTTGACAGACTTCGTTTCA